TGCTGTTTCATTGGGAAAAGAAGTGCCAAAAAAGTGCTTGGAAAAAATGACATAGGGGAACTGCAATAAACACAAGCGATAATGCTTCGCTCTTAGCAAAATTATTACATATATCAGCAGGCCTTCCACTTGTGATGAGGATGTTATTAGCTCAACGCAAGAAGGAAAAATAACCCCTCAAAGTGCGGCAAAATAGCTTGATCCCTTTTGCAAATTAAACTTCCTTCGTTTTATTTTATTTTTCATTTCCAAGCTTATGGTTTCTCTGGGCCACTGATTATTCCTGCTGCTCCCTGGTGATTTAGGCTGGGGCTGTGTTTTACTGTGATAGACGCACAGTGCTTTATGGACTTTGTGGGATGTAGATTAGCTGATAAGGATATTGCTAGTAGTTCTAAAAAAAAAACACAAAACCTCATAATGTGAAGGAAATGTCTGGAAAAGCTTTTCATTTCTCTATTACTCCGATTCATCCAAAGCTAAACAATGACAAATGAAGGCGATTATACATTTGTGGCTAGATCCTGAACACCAAATCCTCCTATTATGAGATAAGTCTTATTTCTGTCTGCATTTTTCTATTCTTATCAAGTGTCTCCTGTGCTTGAAGGGGCTAGGCATGTTCAGCTTGGTGAAGAGAAGACTTAAGGAGTGACATGATTTCATTCTTTAAATATCTCAAGGTTGTCACAGAAAGGAGAGGGCAAGGCTGTTTTCTGCTATGACAGAGATTAGGACTGGGCTTAATGATTCTGATGTACAGGAGAGTAGTTTTTGATTGAACACTAGATGAAACTTCTGGACAGTTAAGGCAGTTCAGCAATGGAACAAGTCCAAGAGATGGCGGGGTCTCTTTCAATATATGCCTTCCAAAAGAGACTGGACAGTTACTTGCTGGTGATGCTCTAGCTGAAAACTGAGCAAGAAACTAGATTCCACTGCCTATGAGGTCCCTTCCAACACTATGGTTCTATGGTATTGTCAATCAGTATATGACTTGTAAATTTTGGAATGTTAGTTTTTGGATCAAAATGCCATTGTCCTCCAAGTCTTCTTGGAGTTGTATTGTGTGCCTTCAAGTAATTTACTGACTTATGGTGATCCTAAGGCAATCGTATCATGCTGATTTCCTGGCAGGATTTGCTCAGAGGGGGAGGTTAATATTGCCTTCTTCTGAGACTGATAAAATACACAAGGTCAACCAGTGAGCTTCTATGTTCAAACATGTAGTTGCATCCTGGTCTGCCAGAATCCTAGTGCAACACTCAAACCATTACACCATGCTGACTCTTTTTCTGAAAGGGTAGTAAAAAAAGAACCATATTTTCCAGGTTCAGACCAGACATAGACTTATGAACTCCTTAGATGACTGGCAGCAGGAGGTGGTGGTGCTCTGCTTCACTGCATGGTGTGGTAAAACTGGTGTCCCACACCTTGCAGCACCTGCATCACCCACACTGCTGAGAGGGCGATCACATGGGGGGAAGTATGAGCGCTCATGGAGTGCACATGATGTGTGTGGCTTTCCCTCATAGATTATGGCAACACAGGAAGCCTTCCATGTTGCTGCAGTGGCAGCAGCGGCCTGTTGGTTCTACCCTCCTTCACTCATGGAGCCAGCATGGTATTGTCTGATGGGAGCCAGCTGGCTCCTTGGGTGACTGGGCTAGATCAGCATATACCACTGATTCTAGCCCCATATGATGAGGTTGTTAGGGTAGCAACCAAAGCGATTCTTCTCATTGCGTAGCACGAAGTAGTGAGCAGCACAGCAAAGAAAGGGAGTCTTAGAATAACAAGGCATTTTTCTCCTATGACCTCATTAAACGTGCCGCTGGAATCACCACGGATCGTGGTGTTGCTTATTGGGAGCGTGAAGAATCCATTGTCCCATGCCCTGCATCGCTTGACTCACCCCAAGTTCCCATCTCATGGGCAGGGTGCATGGACCACCTGGCTTCTCCCCCCCTCCCCCGCTCATTGTTCCTGGTGCAACACGGGAAGCCTCCTGTATTGCTGTGGGGACAGCATGTACAGGTTTAGCTTCCCTTTAACAATGGAGTCCCATTGGAAGTAGCGGTGAATCATGGAATGGGAACTGGCGGGCTCTGTGGTTAAAGGGAAGGAAACTGGAGAATGCCACCACTAGACTGCATCAGCAAATCCAGTGTGTTGTTTTATGGTTCCAGTATCTAACTGCAGTCTTCTCAACTCTGTCATTAAAATGATATATCTTAGAGCAGTAGTTTCCAACCTTTCCTCCTCATGTTGTTTTCAACTCCCAGAAATCCCAGACATCTTACCAGCTGTTAGGAATTGTGGGAGGTGAAATCAAAAACACTTGGAGGATCAAAGGTTGGGATCCACTATCTTAGAGGAAAAACCCTTGCCCCAGGACGGCACCATGGTTTAAGCTTTCAAAAGGCCAGTACTGGAATTGAGGCATGAAGTAAACATGTTCCTAGCTTGTAAGAGCATTAATCTAACTTATAAAGTTTCTACAAATGTGTTCCATGCAGGCATGTAGCCAGGATTTTGATTTGGGGGGGGGGGAGTCTCAGTGAAAAAGGGTCTACCCTAGCAAACCTTTTGTATCATTACCCCAATACTCCCATGCGTATCAGGCAGACAAGATACCCACCAGAGAGAATTTAGTGGTGGCATTTATATCAGGAGATGGTTGGGAGAAGGAGCAATTTAAGTAAGCAAAAGAATGAGAGAAAGTAAGTGACAGGCCCGTAACCAGGATTTTGATTCAGGGGGACTGAGTCTGTGTGAAAGAGGGTCTACCCTAGCAAACCTTTTGTATCGTTACCCCAATACCCCCATGCATATG